TACCGCATCAGGGTAAAGATAACGACAGGTTTGACCCAAATTTGTAGGGGGTCATTCGTGGTAATGAAAGTGAGAGTGTTGTCCAATGGTGCTTTGTATGTAACAAATGTAGAAGGCGAATGTGTGGATATAGTTATCAAGTCTGGCGCAATCAAAAGATGTTACAAATGCTTTCCTTGGTTTGTTTAATTGTGTTGTTTGTACTTAGCATGTTTTGGAGATTGGAATGACGAAGGCATTTTGTTCTGCTATCTAAACACTTTATCCTTCGTTACCCCTTTGAGCCTTATTTATTTTTCTTTCATACCCCTCTTTCGGAATCAATAGTAAAGATCAGAAACGCAAGCGTGAAAGATAAGTGAAGGAAAAAGAAGAAGGAAAGGAAAAAAAAGGAAGAAAAAGAAAGAGAAAGAGAAAAAGAAAAAGAAAAAGAAAAAGAAAATAACAAAATAACAAAAAGAGAAAAAAAGAAAGAAGAGAAAGAGGAAGAAAAAGGAAAGAAAAATCACAACAACAAAATAATTTCTATGATATGAACTACATTCAACCTGATTCCTTTTAAGGATACGTAGGCAGCCTCACGGTTCGGTCCCATCAAAATAAAAATTCAAAAGTCCCCAAGCAAAGAAACTGGGGTGGAAGTTGTGTTTGCTGTAAGAAATCTGATTCCAAAAGTTGTAATTTTAAACCCATGTCGAACTGTTTTGAGCCTTTGATACCCTTTCTTTCTAACCCCATCCAAAAGCCCGCATTACGGTCCAAAGAAAGACCTTCCGATCAGTCTTCGAGAGATGCCAAGTCGAGCAAATAGAGGTGATTCATATCAGGGGCAACACTTTAGTCAAAGCAGGAAAAATAATGAAAATGAGAGAGTCTTATTGGTGAAAACCCTCACAGGCACCGTAAAGCGACGGGAGTTGAGAGAAATAAAAATGAGAGAGTCTTATTGGTGAAAACCCTCACAGGCACCGTAAAGCGACGGGAGTTGAGAGAAATAAAAATGAGAGAGTCTTATTGGTGAAAACCTTCACAGGCACCTTGAGGTGACTGAAAGTTGAGAGAAAGAATCAAATGAGAGAGGCTTGATGGTGATAACCCTTTGGGTACTACAAGTCGAATAAGGATTATAAATCAGATTGGATAATCGGAGCATTGAAGCCTGGTTTCACGGCTCAGAGGGTACAACAATAGTTGAACATCAGACTTGCTTGACAGAATAGGCCACAAGTGCATGTCATGGTCATTAGAGTTGGTATCCAATCTGATAGGTTTCTCCTTTGTAGTTTTCTTGTTAGGAATCATCTCTTTCCCTTGTCCTTTACTCTGTTTCTTTTGTCGTGTTTACTTCCTTTTCTAAGTCTGTTTGGTCAAAACAAGTGAGAAATGACTTCAAAATTTGCCACCAGCTTTCCAAGTGCACAAAATGAGATCTGGCTAGCACATTAAAGCATCATAAGTCAGGAAAGAACAACAAGCGCACTAAGTTGGTAACAATCAATATGCTTTGGGATCCTTGTGAAATACAAAGCTTTGGTACATATCAGTCCCTGGACAATGCAACAAATGGAGGGTGTTAGGTGAACGTATCAAAGGTATCTTTTGTGGTAAGATTGACAAAAGTGGTTAACCAGTGGCAAGCAAGGTCTTCCAAGCAGAAACCAAAGTTATCATGGCAAGCGAGGGAGCAGTAGACCTCAAGGACAAGGCCAGTGGTTTAAGTCAAGGAAGAACATCATATACACTGAGTTGGTAACAATCAACATGCGTTGGGATCCATGTGAAATACAAAAAAAAGGTGGTAAACCAGTGACAAGCAAGATCTTCCATGCAGAAATCAAAGCTATCATGGCAAGCGATGGAGCAAGACCTCAAGACCAAGGCCAGTGATTTAAATCAGGAAAGAACAATGTGTGCATTGAAGTTGGTAATAATCAATATACCATGGGGATCATGTGAAACACAAAGGTTTGGTAGATGTCGGTTCATGAGCAATGCAACAGATAGAAGGTATTGGGTCTCAACGGATCAGAGGTATTTTCTGTGATGAGGGTGACCGAGAAAGTGGTCAGTCAATAAACAGGCAAGGTCTTTCAAATTGAAACCAAAGTTATCATGGGAAGTGAAGGAGCAATCGCCCTCAAAGTCAATGCCACAAACCAAGCACCATATTTATAAACTCACAAGTTTTCTTTGTTTGAAACAAGGGACGCAAATTGTGTCCAAATCAAAGCTTGGAAGTTTGAATTTTTTTCAAGTGTTATGCCCAAATTTTGTCAGCACAAAGACGGTTTGAGAAGGGAAAAGGAAATTTGTTCAATCTGTTGGAACCCTCCATGAGGAAAAGCATGGTTCAGAGGTAAGGAATTTTGTTCGTTCTGCAGAGATCCTCTAGAAAGAAAGCATGGCTTAGTTAAGTTCATTCTCGGCTCTTCAAGACCCTCATGGATAATGGGATTTAGTTTTAAGTGTTCAGGACCCTCCTGGACAATGGGATTTAGTTCTAAGACCTTCATAGAAAATAAGATTTAGCATAAGTTTTACCTTTAGGAAATAGGATTTAGCTTTGAATTTGTCACTCTTAAGGTTAGATTTATTTTGAAATTTTCAGGACCCTCCTGGAAAATGGGACCTAGTTTAAAATTCAAAACAATCATGAGTAGCAAGATCTAGTATAAATGTACCCCAAAAGGATATAAGTTGGCTTTAAAGCTTTCATTCTTAGGATATGATTTAATTTAAAGTTTTCAGGACCCTCCTGGAAAATGGGACCTAGTTTAAAAATCGAAACAATCATAAGTAGCAAAATCTAGCATAAATGTACCCCAAGGAATATAAGTTGGTTTCAAAGTTTGCATGTTTGAGATATGATTCAATTAGGAGTTTTCAGGACCCTCCTGAATAATGGGACCTAGCTTTAAGATTTCCATTAGATAACAAGGTTTAGCATAAGTTCTATTGTAGGGTAATATAATTTAGCAGTAAAATTGTCACCCTTAAGATAAGACTTGATTTTTGATTGTCAGGACCCTCCTGGATAATGGGACGTAGTTTAAAACTGGCTTGCATAACAAGATTTAGTGGAAGTAACACCTTTAGAAGATATAACTTAGATTTAAAATTGTCGTTTAGTTAAGAGTTGTCAGGACCCTCCTGGATAGTGGGGAGTAGTTTAAGACCCTATTAGATAACAAGATTTAGCGGAAGTCATACCTTTAAAAGATATAGCTTAATTTAAAATTGTCGTTTAGTTAAGAGTTGTCAGGACCCCCCTGGATAATGGGACCTAGATTTCAAATTCTTAGTAATATGATTCAGTTTAACACTCACATATGTGCCCAACTACCAAACTGGGGTAGAAAATTTTCTTTGTTTTGTCTAGTTTTGTTAAAATTAGGTACCCACTTGGAGAGCAAGGGAATACAATTCAAGTTCAGCAATCAGGCGCCCACCTGGAGAGCAAGGGAATACAATTCAAGTTCAGCAATCAGGCGCCCACCTGGAGAGCAAGAGAATACAATTCAATTTCAGCAATCAGGCGCCCACCTGGAGAGCAAGGGAATGCAATTCAAGTTCAGCAATCAGGTTCCCACCTGGAGAGCAAGGGAATACAATTCAAGTTCAGCAGTCAGACGCACACCTGGAGAGCAAGGGAATATAATTCAAGTTCAGCAATCAGGCGCCCACCTGGAGAGAAAGGAAATACAATTCAAGTTCAACAGTCAGGTGCCCACCTAGAGAGCATGGGAATACATTCATGCTCAGTAGTCAGGTGTCCACCTGGAGAGCACGAGAATACATTCAAGTTCAGTAGTCAGGAGCCCACCTGGAGAGCACGGGAATATAATTTAAGTTCAGCAGTCAGGCATCCACCTGGAGAAAGGGAAAGCATCTCAGATTACAATTCAAGTCAGCAACAAAAGAAGCTCGCGGCAAGAATGCGAGTCAACAATCCGAGGTGATCAACAGAAGTTAGTCACAATAAAGAAAAAAGAGAGAGGAGAAAGGCAAGAAGTTAATCCAAATGCAGAAGTTGATGAAAGATGTGGGTTACCCAAGACATGGTTGAGGTCACAAGCACTACATGTCCGATCTTGATCCGAAAATCTGAAGAAGAACGAACTAGCATCTGCAACTAGCAAGCGTCAAGGTTCAAATCCAAAGTCTGCATGAAGAACCATTCAAGACTCAAGATCAAGCTTCAGAAGACTTATAGATAAGAATCTTGTAACTCATAGTTGACAGACTTAGTTAGTCTTTTTCATTTTTTAATTTTGATGTAATAACAGGCCCGCGGACCGGAACCTCGATGGAATGGCACCTCGATCGGCTCCACCTCGGTATACTCCATCATCTCACTCATCTCTAAACTACACGTGGCCTGATTCCTTTATATCCAAGGATATGTAGGCAACTCAAATACCAGGGCTCAGTCACATTCCCCTTTTCTCTTAGTTTTAGTCCCTCCAGATAAGGGTCGGGTCAAAAAACCTATCTAGTCATTCTTTGTCTGAAAACTCTTCGCGTTCCAGTCAAAGAGGGACAACTGTAGACATGTGATTTTTGACCCTCCCCAATATTTTTATATTTTAGCATGTAAATATTTAATTTAGGCCTAATATAACTATTTCAACTCATTTTGACTCTTTTTACTTTATTTTATTACAAGAAAAATGAAAATTACAAAAAATATTTTAGTTTATGTATTTTCATAATTTTTTTTAAAAAAAATAATAATACAAAAAATAGTACCTTATTTTTATCTTTATATAATTTTGAAAACACAAAAATAGTTTCATGTTTAGTTTAATTAATTAGGATTAGTTTTGACATTTATTTCAAATCATAAAATATAAAAAAATATATTGCATCTACATTTATGATTTTATTTTACATTTTTAAATTAATTAAGTAAGTTGTTGTTTGACAAAAATAGAAAAAATCATAAAAAATAGTCATGTTGCATTTTACTCTTTAATTTTCGAATTTTGGCAATTTTCTTTGGTATTTAATTAGTTGGGATAATTATTATTTTGAGTAATTAATCTAATTTGATAAGCTGAATCTTGGGTCAATTTGACCCATTTGGTTTTTGAAGTAATTAACATGGGGTTTTAAGGGTAGTCTAGGGATTGTTTAAATTGGGTAGTCTTACCTAACTAATTAGGAAGCTTCTAGAGTGGTGGGGTTGGGAGTGCATTACTGAATAGAGTAAAGAAAAGGATTTGAGTGGAGTCAAATAAAAAATTGGGGAAGGGGTATTTGTGAATAGGTAATTAATTTATGCTACCTATTTAAAGAGAGGAAAATACACTGAAATAGAGGAAAAAAAGGAGTGGGTAGCCTTGAGAGCTTCTTCGTCAACAACAAAAGAAACGATAGACATCCCTCCCAACTTCCAAAAAAAAAAAGACTCATCCTCACCTTAACTAATTACGTTTTCTGATCTTAAACCAGCTTTTCCATAAAAACTCATCATTAAATAAACACTATCCAACCAAAACTAATTAAACTCATAAAAATCCAGTAACACCACCTTGAACAAAAATTGGTAACTATCATTCCTCCCAATACCATGTGAACCTCCGTCAAACAAGCTTCAAGTCTGCTGCTACGGATTTTCGAATTTGCCGGTGAGATTTTCAGTTTGAGATCACTATTCACTGTTTCCCGCTCGAAGTCGTCAAGGTCTGGGTCGAGGGTGTCGTCCGAGGTTCGAGGTTCGTGGAATAATTTCATGTTGCTGCTGTTTTTCGGCTCCTGTTACGCTGCTGTAATTGCTTGAGGTCAATCTCTCATTTTTTATTCTTGAATTTAATGGATCAGAATCTCATTTTAAATGTGTTTACTTAGTGATAAATTTCTATGTGAGCTCATTTTTGGTTGTTTGATTCTTAGCATCTGATTTTCTTTAGTTTGACATGATTTTTCATTATTTTGTTGTTGTTGATAAAATGAGAAATGAAAGATATAAAGAAAAAGAATGTCATTCAGTGATGATGATTAATTGGAAATATACTGTGGGGAGTGGAAGGCTAAAGAAGTAGATGCCATATTATTCAATTATGAGTATAGTATTACTAAATTTCTCCTTGCTAATTAAAGGTAAACATTAATTTGGATTTTCTTTCTCCACAATATTTCGTTGATTTATTTAGTTCTATTTTATTTTATTTTATTTTTATTGTCACCTAGAAGCATGTTTAGGACGACCACATTTGGGTAGGCTAGTTGTTAAAAGATTTGGACCGGAATAAGCTTCATCGCACCTTGGGCTTTTAGTTGAATGCTTTTCCTTTAGAATTCGAGGTGTGCCATTTAGTTGAATTTCCATGGCCCTCGCAAATTTAAAAATGCGCAGTTGCTTTAGGCGCGTTATTTTATTAAATTACCTTCTTAAACTCGGGTGCGCATTTATGTGACCCAAATCCAAATCTCAACAATGTTATATAAAATGTGTTGTGGACTGTGAGTGCATTTATGTGACGTGGTTCAAGACATATTTTAAATGACGTTGCAATATTTTCTTAAAAAATGGTTAAAAGCGGTTTAAAGTTAAAATGCACATAGGTTAAAACATGTGTTAAAATCAGATAATAGGCCAATTGTAATAGTTGAGCGACCGTGCTAGAACCACGGAACTCGGGAATGCCTAACACCTTCTCCCGGGTTAACATAATTCCTTACCCGGATTTCTGCATTCGCGGACTGTAAAATAGAGTCAATCTTTCCTCGATTCGGGATTTGAACCGGTGACTTGGGACACCATAAATTATCCCAAGTGGCGACTCTGAATTTTAAATAAAATAATCCCGTTTCGATTGTCACTTTAAGTTGGAAAAAACTCCCTTATACACATTTACGGGGGTGTAGGTAAAAAGGAGGTGTGACACCTATCATATCTGAGTGTGACCAAGCAAAGCAACCTGCGTTAGCACGTGAAAATTCAATTAACTTACTTTTCAGCTCCAGACTTAAGTTTTTCCCAACATACACTTTTCTGTCGGGCCAATGGATAATTAATATAACAATTTCGAGCTCTTTCATAGTTGTTTAAATAGTTCTCTTCTGGATCCTAGATAATGTCAGGTCTCACATCTAAATCTTCTCCGTTCCTCACGCCTTCAGTTGATACCGATGAAAGTGGGGCAGCCTACCTTAAGATTTTCCCAGGCAAATGAAGAAGCGAACAAAGAAGCGTTGCTAGTCAAGTTAGATTTACTTGAGGAAACACGAGTGTTTACCGTGAAAATGGTAATAACAATTAAATTTGATTTTGTGGCTTTAAAAATACATAATCTACTTTTATGCTAGTTGTTAGGCAATGGATGCTAAAGTAAGAGATTTTTTTAAAATAAGAGATTAGAAAGCAAGATTATAGCTAGAAAACGATATGATAGTCAAACCAAACGGCTGGAGATCTGGGCCTCGAGCTCGCGTATATGGGGCCTCAAGGTCGAGTCAGGTGGCTGGCTTAGAGCGATCGAGGGAAGGATAATAGTTATGAGAGCTACGGTGGTGGCTCTTTATGTTCAATTATAAGCAATAAATGAAGAACAATAACAACATTAACACATCATATATAACACAATAAATATAAGCAATAAATGGGAGTAATGAGAGCAAGAGAATATGTTAGAGAGCAGAGAGAATGTTCTTGTGTATTTAGTATTTTTCATCAGATCCTTATAAAATGACAAGGATCCCCTTTATATATGAGGGAGAACCCCAACATAGTACAAATGCATTTATTACAAAGTAAGACGGCTGGTACAACTACCTAGCAATCTGGTGCAGACTGGTATTATTCTTGCAGGTGATGCCAGATCGGACTACATGCCTAGGGAACTTCCCACTTGCCCTCGGTAACCACCGACTCATGCTGCGTCAAGGTCAAGTGTGAAAGCCTTTAAGGTCGAAGCCTCGAGCTGTGTCCCCGGATCTTCGGGGCCTTTTTGAGGCTAAGGAAGAGACACAATGGTCGTGAAATAGGGCCTCCCGATTTCGCCTGTATACAAATAGTCCCCCCGTTTCTTAGAATAAAATGATAAGAAACGACCTCGAATCTATGCCCTTCTGGTACTTCCATAATGATGGCGGTCACATCTTGCCAAATGATTGAAACGATAAAATAGGGTGCCAAAAGGTCGTGTACAGACAACACTTAAAAGCCTTTGTATTGATTACAGTGGCTGGCTGTCCTTTGGCCTCCTTCAACGTGCGTGTTGGACCTCTATAAATACCTCTTCTCTCGTTCTTTATTGTTCACTGCACCACCAAGCCCTCAAAAAGTTCTTTCTACCTTCACTTTTGTTCTTTCTTTGAAATGCAATTTCTTTTTCTCCTCTAAAATCTTTTAAGAATGGCGAAAACTTCCACTTCTCAAGAGAATGTAACCTCCTCCTCTTCGCTTTCATCTAAAGGAAAAGCAGCATTGCCTCCTCGTGTTTGGGAATGCATTCCAGGATCTTTTGCAATGTCTTCCGATTTCAAGGTCGAGAAACCTTCTTTGAAGCCGGGGCGTCGTGAGCTTGTGTCTCAGTATATTAGCTCAATAGCAGACGTTAAAAAGGTGAGGACTGATTGCCGCTGGGGGGATACGGTGCTCGTGGAGGTCCCTTCTAGGGAGGAGGATATAACGACATACAAAGCCGATTTTCTCAGTGTGTATACTTACCCATTTACCCTTGGGCCGGTGAGGCCATCCTTGCCTCCGATAGACCCCTTGATTCTCGACTTCTGTCAACGGTATCGAGTGACCCTCGGCCAAATTCACCCTTCGTTCTGGCGCATTGTCTACATGATCAGGTATTATGTGAGCTTGATTGGGGAGATGCCCTTCACCCTCGATCACCTGGTCAGGATGTACAACCTCCGTCTCTTTCGTGGGGGCTTGATTAAGCTCCACTGCCGAGCCTCGAGGGACCTTTTTGCTTACATTGACGAAGTTGGGAACGGAGGGTGGGCGAGCCGTTTTGTCCTAGTTAGGACTTTAGACTTGATCCCGATGGAAAGGATGCCGTTCCCCGAAAGGTGGAACATGGAACATAAGTAGATACGTTATCTAGCATCTCTTTGCTTCTTTTTAGGTACATCTTTCCACGCACTAATTCCTTCTGCTGATGCAACCATAGTAGTTTATCCTGGTATGGTTATGGACCTCTCAGGATGGGTCGACCGGCTGGACTCAATTTGCCCATACACCGAGCGGGTGTGGCGTGATCTGTCCCAAGCTCGATGGGAAGCCAAGTATCATGGTGAGCCTTTACTCCTGCTGTAGTCATACCTTGTAATTAGAATTGTTACTGATAGTGTCCTTACTCCTTGTGCTTACCTCTTGTATTTGTGTAGGTATAGGGGAGGTCTCCTCGATTAAGGAAACATCACCTGGTGAAGAGGATATCTCGAGACCCGACGAAGGGAAGAAAAGACAAAAGGAATCGTCGAATGAACCTTCGAAATCCAAGAAGACCAAGGTGGATGGAGTTAAGGCTGACCCAGAAGCCTTCACTCTAGAAGCAGCGGGAAATCCCCGAGCTGAAGGCGAGAGGGGAAATAATTTCTTAATAGTGTCGGGGGGAGGAGAGGAAGGGGACCCAATCGACCCTTGCGCCGTAGAGACAGTGGCTTCCGAGATGGAGCTTGATGTCATCGTGGTCCAACTTTGGGCTGGAGAGGCCACTAAGGAAGTATTGGATGAAGTCCTCGAGCCGGCTGGTGGCCAAAATATCTATCAAGCTGAGACGCATTCGGCAGGCGGTTCGGAGGAACCTAGTTCTGAAGCCCTGTAGGGACGAGAGACGACCTCGATTGACCCTGTTGGTGCTATTGTCGTGAGTGATTCCCTCAGGGAAAGACCTTACCTTTTACATGAGCGCAAGATGCCCAAAATGAAGAAACTTCCGATGTGGGAGTGCCCCTCAGAGGTAGAGATACATTTGAAAGGCCTTTAGCCGTTCCCTAGGGAATTCCCGAGCTCGATGCTTCATTCGTCTTTAGCGAGATGAACAGGTTTTGTGAGCAGGTAGATTTTGTAAATCTTTCCTGTCGTCCTGATCTTTGTCTTTCTAACTTGTCTTTTTCGTGGCTTCAGCCCATGGCGTTTTACAACTAGAGTTTTGCATAGTTTCAAGCTGAGGTTACCTGTTATGAGCGTGAGAAGACTCATCTTGTCGAACATGTTACCTAGTTTCCATTTGTTATCATCTGAATGTTTACTAGATCCTAGCGTTTTGACATTTTTGATCTGATTCGTGCAGTTTGAGAAGGAAGGTGCCCTATTGAGGGAGGAGCTCCGAGACAGAGACTCTGAAGTTCTCAAACTCAAACGACACATGACAAAGATAACTTCTGAGAGGGATACCCTCCAGAAAAATATGGCCTTAGTCGGGCACCAGCTTCATGACGTGAGGGTGATAGTGATAAGTATAGAGGTCTCCATTCCGAGTTAGTTGCTGTACTATCCGGGATCAAAACTGAAGCTGAGGCGCTCATATCTTTGCACAAGGAGGATGTTGTTATAATAAACGCTCAAGCCGGGAGAGTGCCCGAGGAGGCTGAATTGAAGCTAAATCGAGCCGTGGAGCATGATCGGTTAGAATCTCGGAGGTGGACTCTCGAGGATATAAACGTGGGGGGTATCAATTTGTCTGCCGAGCTCGAAAGGGTGAAGACTCTAGAGAAGAAAGCTGCTGCACTGGTTACTTTTGGCAGTGTGTCGGGTAGTGGCTCAGGAGATGATGAGAATGAAGGCGGGATCCCCAAAGGGGAAGAGGCCGTTGAAGGTCCTGGGGTTGTAGCCGGATCCGTTGGGGCACAACCTCCGGTGGAGCCGTCAAAGATGTAGGCTCGATGATAGATTAAATTCGGCTCCTTCTTTGTGAGGGTTTTTAAAGGCCTTGTAAACGTACCTCTGTGAGCAATATGTATAAAAGGCTTTCCGTTTGTTATCACTTCTTTTCTCCTTTGCCTGAATAATGTGTGATGTTTTTTGATAATCAATTTGAGATCTTAGACCTTGGGTTAGACCCTCAGGTTTTTGCTATTGCTGAGCGACTCGTAATGGTCAAAGGTCGAACGTGCGGGGCCCAATCCCTACATCGGTACCTCGGCGCGGGTTTACTGACCCTTAGGTCTAGAAGTAGGCCTTGGCTTTTATACGTTCGGTAGGTGCGATCTTCGATTTTAGTGCTGGCGACAGTGGATCTCACGCGTTGGGTCGGTGCGACCTTCGATTTTAGTGCTGGCGACAGTGGCTCTTATGCGTTGGGCCTTTAGGCTTTTTTAGTTGACTGTTTTGGGCTTGGTCTCCAAGTCGGGTTTCGACTCGAGCTCATTGGCCTTAAAGTTTTTGAATTTAGAGCTGGCCTTTAGGCTCTTACGCTTTAGGTCAGTACGACCTTTCATACGGGCTGGCGGTAGTGGCTCTTACGCTTTTGTTCTTAGGCATATTTAGTTAACAATTTTGGGTTCAGTCTCCAGGTCGGGTGTCGACTCAAGCTCATTCGATCCTCAAGTTTTTGAATTTCAAGCTGACCCTTAGGCTCTTATGCGTTGGGTCGGTAAGACCTCTTGTATGGGCTGGCGAAAGTGGCTCTTACGCATTGGGTCGGTAATACCTCTTATATGGACTTTATTTTTCCCTCGCTAAGGACTTTTTGAGATTGTGACCAAGTTCGATATATATCGAGGGTATTCCTTTTTAGGGGTCTTACAAGTTCGATATATAGCCTTAACTTTAAGATCGGGATTATGCCTTTAGTAAGGTCTTACAAATTTTACATGCCTTTGAGGTCTTACAGTCTTGTTTACTTGGTACAAGTATGGTTCATGCCTTGCTTGAGATCTTACAGATATTGTTGTTGCTTACTTAGTACAAGTGTGGTTCATGCCTTAATTGAGGTGTTACGTATAGTGTTGTTGCCTTATATAGGTCTTAGGATACCGAGGCTACCGCATGTGGTCTTATGGCCTCGGGTTTTGATATGTCGATGGGGGTGGCAGTTAGCGGCAGTCCCCGAGTCATTGAAAGTTTCTTGGCTTGGGATCCATTACTTGTAAACTTGTTATTGCCTCATTGAGGGCTTATGATTTCGGAGTTTTCGACCCAGAGGTCATGTGGTTTTGAGTTTTCGATGCCAGCCCCCGAGTGTTCGGGACGTTTTTGGCTCTAGGGCCATTTTGTGATCTTGATGTTGCCTCATTGAGGGCTTATGAGTTTGAAGCTCCGACCAGGGAATCATATGACTTCGAGTTGTTGACGCCAGTTCCCAAGTATTCGGGATGTTTTTGGCTCTGGGGCCGTTTTTGCAAAAATACCGATCTTCTTTGAAACGCGAAATGCTTTGATGGAAAGTATTCTTCGGTTACTTGGTACAAGTATGCATGTTTTCGCTGTTAGGGACTCGATTATTCTTATATGGACATGGTTCGTTCGACCGTTTGGCCCGGTACATTATTTTCCTATCGAGACCCCGTTCAGCACTTCTTGGCTTTTCTGATGAGGTGACCTTTCGGGGGGGATGCCCCACGGTATTCGAGGTTGACTGCAAAAGAAGCCTTGAATACTTGTTGAGTTTTCCTTAGGTAGCATATAAATGCTGCCTAGTTAAAAACCTTGCCGGTAAAACCCTTTTAAGGACAAAATCCGGTCGAAGGAAAAGAGTACAATGCATGCTTTTAAGAACCCGATGTTCTCGAGTTTGAGGGTGTTTCAGAATCTTCCATTGGACACCTTAGCAGTAGTATCATTTCAGAATTGATATGTTCCAATTGCTTGGAAGCTGTTCTCCTTCCATGGTATCGAGCTTGTAGGACCCTTTGCCGATTACTCCGAGGATGCGGTACGGTCCTTCCCAATTTTGGCCTAGATTTCCTTCATTAGGGTTTCGGATGTTGAGGGTGACTTTACTTAGGACCAAGTCCCCGACTCCGAGATGTCGGAGGTTTGTTCTCCTGTTATAGTACCTTTCAATCCTTTGCTTTTGGGCGGCCATTCGGACCAGTGAGGCTTCTCGCTTTTCATCCAATAGTTCGAGGGCCATAGTCATGGCCTCATTGTTTGAGCTCTAGGTGGTGTGTCAGAATCTGGAGCTTGGCTCTCTGACCTCCACTGGTATCAAAACCTCGACACCATATACTAGAGAGAAAGGTGTTTCCCCTATGCTTGATTTTGGAGTTGTTCGGTATGCCCACAACACTCCGGGCAATATTTCTCTCCACTTTCCCTTAGCGCTTTCCAACTTCTTTTTTAAGTTTTGGATGATGGTTTTGTTTGTAGACTCAGCCTGACCATTTGCACACGGGTGGTAGGGCGTCGATAGGATTCTATTGATTTTGTGATCCTCGAGGAACTATGTTACTTTGCTTCCAATGAACAGCCTCCCATTATCGCTTGTTATCTCGGAAAGAATCCCGAATCAGCACTTAATGTGGTCCCAGATGAAGTCAATGACTTCTTTTTCTCTTATCTTTTCGAAGGCCTACGCTTCCACCCATTTTTAGAAATAGTCAGTCATAAATAAAATAAATTTAGCTTTACTTGGTGCCGTTGGTAGAGGTCCGACGATGTCCATTCCCCATTTCATGTACGGCCATGACGATAAGACCGAATGTAGTTGTTCGCTGGGTTGGTGAATCATAGGGAAAATCTCTGGCATTTGTCGCACTTTCGGACAATTTCCTTGGTGTCTTTTTCCATGTTGTCCCAGTAGTAGCCTGCCCTGATCACCTTTCAGACTAAGGAATCGGCGCTGGAGTGGTTTCCGCAAGTACCCTGGTAAATTTCTCGGAGTACATAATCTATGTCTCCCGGTCGCAGACATACTGCTAGGGGGACATTGAAAGTTCTTTCGTACAGAGTCTCGTTTTCGTTGAGCGAGAATCGGGCTGCTATGTTTCGCAGGGCCCTCGATACCTTAGGATCCCTGGGTAGTTTCCCATCTTTCAAATAGTCAATATATTTGTTCCTTTAATCCCATGTTAGGCTAGTGGAATTAATCTTGGCATGACCTTCCACGACCACTAATTTGGATAGCTGAACAACAGCCCCAGGGAGTAGGTCATCTTCTTCAACAAATGATCCCAGGTTTACGAGGGCATCAACCTCACTGTTATGCTCTCGAGGTATGTGGACCAGGGTCCATTCTTTGAAACGGTGTAATGTGACTTGGATTTTGTCAAAGTATCTTTGCATCTTGTCTTCTCGGACCTCGTAGCTCCCGTTTACCTTATTTACTACCAGGAGCGAATCGCACTTTGCTTCAATGATCTCAACTCTCAGGTTTTTGGCCAATTACAGACCTGCAATCATAGCCTCATACTTGGCTTCGTTGTTAGTCAATCTTGCAGTTTTTATAGATTGCCTGATTATGCCACTCGTAGGTCGCTTCAGGACTATACCGAGTACGGATCCTCTCACATTCGTGGCGCCATCAGTGAATAGGATCCATACCCTGAAAGATGTGCCTATTTTTAGTAAAAGTTACTTTTCTACCTCGGGCACGAGGGAGGGCGAGAAGTCAGCCATAAAGTCCGCCAGAATTTGGGATTTGATAGCCGTTCGGGTTTGATACTCGATATCATACCCCCCGAGTTCGATGGCCCATTTGGCCAATCAATCTGACAGTTCGGGTTTATGCAATATGCTTCGGAGAGGATACGTTGTTAAAATGCAAATACGGTGGCATTGAAAATAAGGTTTCAATTTTTGCAATGCGCCTATTAATGCGAGAGCTAATTTTTCTAGGTGCGGATACTTGGTTTCATCATCCCCTAGGGTCCGACTTACATAATAAATAGGGAATTACGTACCTTGCTCTTCTCGAACTAGGACACCGCTCACCGCTATCTCGGATACGGCTAGGTATAAATACAACATTTCATCCTCTTTTGGTGTGTGGAACATAGGCAGACTAGTCAGATATTGCTTCAATTCCTCCAAGGCGTGTTGGCATTCTGGAGTCCATTCGAAGTTGTTTTTCTTTTTGAGTAAAGAGAAGTCTGTACAATAAAATTGGAGGTCCAATTTTCCATTGTTATGAAGTCTCGAAGGCTCAAAACCACGGTTGAGTTCCATCCCTCGAGGGCCATTGATGCTGGACCTTGGGGCGGTACGGACCGACGGTTATGGGGAGAAAGTGGAGAGTTCCCAAGGCGTGAAGCTAGAGCCGACAAAATCTGTCAGGATAGTCTAAGCCCTCATGGCATTAACTAGCTATCCCATCTCCATATCTTTGTAATAAATGTACTTGTACTATGTTGGGATGTCCCCTCATATATAAAGGGGATCCTTGTTACTTTGTAAATATCTGTTGCTCATTACTAAATACACAAGAACATTCTCTCTGCTCTCTAACATATTCTCTTGATCTCATTACTCCATTTATTGCTTATATCTATTGTGTTCTATTTATTGTTCATCATTTATTGCTTATTATTGGCCATAAAGAGCGGTCATTGATTTATTCATAACTGTTAGTCTCCATCGACCACCCTCGATAGATCCCAATCGAGCTTCAGAATCGACCCAAGGCCCTCGAATAGGCAAGCTCAAGGCCCCAATTGACAGCGATTCGATTTGGTTAACATCTCGTTTTTAAGCTCTTATCTCGTTTCTAGGTCTTTCATATTGCATCAACTGCTAGCAACTAGCATAAAAATAGATCACGTATTTTTAGAATCCCATAATCAAATTTAATTGTTATTACCATTTTCACGGTAAAAAGTTTGGCGCCCATCATGGGGATAAAAATAGTAGTGATTATTTTCTTGCTTGTTTAACTACATAGCACAAGTTATATTTCACACATTTTCTTGCCCAAGATCTTTGATTTCAGGTCAAAATGTCTGACTCAGTGAACAACAACTTGAGAACCATGGAGAAAATTGTGTGGATGTTCTAGGAGTTGGTGTACCACCACGAAACCCTGAGAACACACCAGAATTGATTCCC